AGGCCTACTAACTGGTGACGTGCACATAAACGAAGGCGCAAGGCTCGGGATCCATTATCAAAAGTGGTTATCAATAATCGTGGCACACGTAGGACACTCAATGAAAATAAGGATATTTTATTGAGGAGAAGAAGGTTTGTCCGACAGAAAGTCGTGAACCCCTTGTTGGAGCAAAAACAGTTGAGATTCTAGTCTACTCATCTCTGAAATACATGCACTTCTATTTTGACGATGTTGCATTGCGGAGTTCAATACTCGCATATGCTCCTGTTGCTTCAAGCCTTTCAGAACGTCGACATGATGACGCAGTTCTTGCTCAAGTTCTGCCTGTTGACGAAGCTTCATCTCTCGCTGTCGACGAATCTCCTCGAGAGCTGCCATAAGATGCATTTCCTTCTCTACAAGGACGCTTACTTCGTCCGTAATAACCCGAAGGGACTCACGACGGGCGTTCACTGTCTCACTAGCCTCCTTCACAACATCAGTTGGCTCCTCATGTACTTCTGTAGGAATGACCATCTCTTGTACGTGACCCAAGAGTTGTTGATACTTATTGAACATAGTCTGAAACTCTTGGGAGAAGACCTTGAGTCGTTCCCTGAGCGTCGAAGGAAGAATGGATCCAACTTCAGCATTGTCATTCCCAAGACGCTCAATGAGGAGCTTGAATTGCTCTAAGGCTGTAGCATCATATGACATCCTTGCGAATCCTCCTATAGAGAAGTCTAAAAAGCGCGTCAATTCCATTTTCTTCTTGACAATGGCCAGCTTTGATTGACCAGAATGAGGCGACAAGTCATATGGATTAAATGCCAAAATAAATTCAACTTCGTTTATAGCGTGCATTGCCTTGCCTGTATAAGCAGTAGTCGACTGATGATCAGGAGTTGGTGAGACAGACGTCGATGATAAGGCCTCAGCTGAGTTAGCCGTGAAAGCCGAAGCTGCGAACATTGGAGTAGACGTCGACGGAGAGACTGTGGAAGGATTAACCACAGTGGCTGGAATAGTAGTTCGCTGAATCATAATACTTGTCGACGGACCACATGCTGTAAAACCAGAATGATATCTCAGAATCAGGATTAGAATTGAAGACAACGCAATATTTGAAAGACACGTACCTGTCTCAGATATAGTTTTCTCACGTCCAATCATATTAAGAGCGACAGTGGTTACGGCGATGGAATCAAGAATTGGAGCAGTTCGGACAAGTGGAGAAGTAGGAACAATTGCTGGTATAACTAGAAAGAAAAGAAGAATAAATAAATCCAATAAACAAGATGAGCAGAATACGCCAGACAACAACAAAAGTTTACCAGGGGTCACAATAGTGGATGAATCAAGCTGAGTGAAGAGCTGTACTCGGGATATCATCAAATTGGTAACAGAGGCGCTGGAAGATATCAAGGTAGTTGCGGCCGATATGGTGCTAGAAATACCAGTCGATGGAATTGAGATGTTGCTAACCCGCTCGACAGAAGGAAGACCAGTAGATGCCAAGGCGGTAATAGGGTTATGAATTGTGGGAACAGAGATGCTATCTCTCGGACCTTTATCCAAAGAAGCAATGGGTTCTGAAGAAACCACATCACGTGCAACCGGCTCAGCAGATGGTTCGACAGATAAAGTGCTGGACTTCTTTCTTGGAGAAGAAGGAGAAGATCTTTTCCTTTTCCTTTTCAGCAATGATACCATCTCTTCCAACGTTTCCTCTTCGTTTATCCCAGAGACAATCCAGAGGGGAGAAAGACCTTATAAGTAACAAACTAATATAAATGAGAGGATAAGGTGAGTTGACACAGAGGAAGAAAGACAGAGATTTACCATCAGTAGGATTTTCTGCAGCATCGACACCTTCTGCGTCAGAGTATTCTTCTGTTTCTGAGTTAAGAAATGGAAAGTTAGAAGATGCACTGGATTGAAACTGAATAAAAACGTAGAATGGTGGTGTCGATACCTTGGATAATCGGTTTCTTAGAACCACTCCGCTTCACACGAACAATCGCAGACCGGAGGGCCTCTTCGTATGTACTTTCAAATGCAAAGGAATACCACTAAGTTTGCCATTCAGCAAGGTATCCTGGACGGGCTCTGAAACCATTAGGGAGGTCTGCACTATAATGGGTGTGCATTGTGTTAGCAATTTCAATACAACAGAGAAGTGGGCTTCGATTCTTGAGAGAGTATTCTTTCTTCTTGATCCCTTCCGGGAAGCCCATTGAATAAGGAATTGGCATGGGGATTGCTTGCCAGAGTCCAAATTGCCTAGCACAATATTGTGGAGAGTATACCTCAAATCCAGGATAGAATCGACCCTTCAATGAAGTCCATATGGGAAGATCTACTGCAGATAGAGCACAAGTCCAGAAAGGCCTATAAAGATTGAATCGAGCTGGATCGAACAAATAATCAAATTCTCCATTGCCATATTTAAAGAAAATGACTCGGTCATGATTCAGTTCAATAAAAGCTCGAAGATAGAAGATAAAAGGAGGCGCTTGAGAAGCAATATGTCGAGGGGAACAGCTCAGCAATCGACACCCCAGGGGTACAGGTACAGGTCTTCTATACCCTTGCAGAGACAAATGGGGAAGATGACGATCACCTTTACTAAAAAGGGAAGGGAAATACAAAGCCATCTATGCTTGAAGTATCCAAAAAGCGCCCGAGATAGTTCCAGAATCCCCGAACTTCATCGCCCGAGAAGCATGAGTAAAGCCTCTATATAAAACTGCAAGAACAAGAGGGGCCAATGCGAGACGTTGTCCCGTGGCTAGGGCTGCGGCAATTTGCAGATAATCTTTGCAGACTTTAAGGGCAGGACTAAAAAACACATATTTTGACAGCCAAAAGAGCAAGAAAAATAGACGCTCATCTTGGGTAACAGGACCCGAAGCTCGATGAAATCGAGACAAGAAATTGCTGTATGCCAGAGCATCTTCAGAGATAAAAGGAGTGGACAGTACAGGCAAATTCTCGACGACGTGACCAACCAATTCAAAACCCGCTATGGCAAACACATCGAGTATAGTGATGGACATGTGGCCCCAAGGAAAAAAGAAACAGTTGCTGGAAGAGGACCAGAAAGTGATGGCGGAGCCCAATAACCCACGTTCCAGGTCATATGATGACATACTGACCTCGAGAGCGATGTCGATTCCGGCAGCTGTCCATAAAAGTCGAGTTTCTTGGTCAGCCTTCAACCGAATAAACCATTTGTGAAAATCCTATTCGTAAGAAGGGAAACCTCGAAATCGAGAAGACCCGGTAGACCACACATCCGTAATAGAAGAATGTTGCAGTGCCAAAGTCTCACTGTGTTTATACGGGAAATGGAATTGGAGATTCACAGGTATATTGAGATGGTCCATGAAACTGGAGCCCAGAGAGAAACAGTTACATTCATCCTCGACAGCTTTCAGTAAATGAAAAAAGCAATTACCAGCGCGCGGATCATCTTTAAACTTATCAAAAGCTGCGATGTAATCGCTGGCCGAATATTCGGACTTTTTGGACGCCATAGGAAGCGATGGATCAAGATCGGAAAAGGGTTCAAGAAAGGATTTTTAGGGTTAGAGAAGAGACGCGACGATGAAACAAGGTTTTTACAAGAATAAAGGATGAAGAAGACGATTTGAAAAGTCACAACTGTTCGGAGAAGATACGAGGTGATGTGTCCAATAGGTATTGGATGAAGAATTCGTAGGGACTGCTCGAAAGGACGTCAAAGGACAGAAAAGCATGATCATCGCCTAGGGATTCGTACACAGACAAGGTACACCTTTAAAAAAACTAAATTCAAATTTATTCCTTTTAAAAGGGGGCATATGTTGACACCCAAAATTACCCCTGATGGGAGTGGGCCGTTTACAAGTTACAAAAGATATAAAGTACGGCCCACATAGCGAAAATCCAAAAAAGGCCGCAAGTCAGGCCCAGAGGCATTAAGAAGACCTAAGGTAATTATCGACAGGACACGTCATAGAGGTGTCGACAAGTTTAAAATCACGAGCCTTGCACGTGACATCGACGAGTTCAAGATCACGAGCTTTGCACGTGACGTCGACGAATCCAAAATCACGAGCTTTGCACGTGACGTCGACGAATCCAAGACCACGAGCTTTGCACGTGATGTCGACGAATCTAAGATCACGAGCTTTGCACATGACGTCGACGAACAAGCTTTGCACGGAATCATGGTAATACATGGCGGAAATTTCATTTACACGTGTCAAAAGGTAAAGATATGACCGTGGGCGTGAAGATCAAGGAAGAAATAAAGAGACACGTGGAAGAAAATTAGCTACTACGTGATGCCCAAGGAGCGTAATTAACATCGATAAGTCAGGAAGCGGTTAAAACGCGAAACGTAAGGAAGTGAAAAATACCTTTCAAGGAGAAGTGCGGTCAATAATTATCAAGCTGCTCTATAAATACTCAAGGATTTCCAACGAAGAAAAGACTCTTTTCGCAAATAACACAACATATCTTTTATCAAGCTTTACTTTTAGCACATTAGGAGTAGTTTTAGCTGTAATTTTCAGATTCTGCGTTGTAGATTCAATTCCGGCAAGAGTCTTTATCAGATTCAACATTGTTGATTAAATTCCAATGTTGTGCCATTAGTTCAGCGTCGTCGATTAAATTCTGGCGTTGTGCTTGGAATATAGCTGTTGATTAGATTCTAGTCATATTCTCTCAAGTTACGTCATTGATTAGATTCTGGCGTACCTTAAATGGTAATACCGCATATTAGCTGTGTCGTTGATTAGATTCTGACATGGCTTGGTCTCGGTATTTGCAAGTTGTCGTTTCATTGTTAGTATTGTCGAGTTTGGTATCATATCGAGTCAGGGTGTAAGATCTAAATTGGGATTAATAAACGCATTTGACATTCTTTGTCCAAGCTTAACTCAAGACCCTAGTCTCTCCTAATAAAATCCGAAACGCAATGTTCGGTGAAAGATTTTCGACGGAGTAAAAAACCAGCGAAACACTACCGATCTAAAGTACCTCACATAGAGCAAAAATTTGCAGCACGTGCAGAAAATTTGGTGATAAATATGGGTTTATCTAGCTTCGCTGGCATACAGTAAGGAGGACCACCACTAGTCCATTGATGCATGAGACAATGAGCATCATGGAAGAACCCTGAACAATGTGTAAAGCTCTTCCAATTGTAATGATTGCTTTCAATTGCTGGAGCATATCATTCCTTCTTGATGCTCCCGGCTATTCTTGGTCCTCCAACAAGCCTCTGATACTTCGAACCATTTCAGGATGATACCCACTCATCTCCAAGGAACTGAAATGAAAATACATAGATTCATATGCATACGTAAAAATGTAGCAACAGATTACAGAAACGAATTTTCATTTGACATTCTTGAAAAGGTGCTTAAAAGGTCCTCTCACCTTGTGACTTTGATGTTGCAGCGGATGAAGGCAGATTCTACATCTCCAAAACAATACCTGAAACCATGGAGTATTAAAACATTAAAGCATCTATGCAGTATTGGAAGCGCAGCACGGGTGGATGAACAAGTAAGCTAAGAGTGGCCGTACTACAAAGATTACGAAGTTTATCAATTTACTCCTCCTTTAAAAAGCAACTATTTTAATGTGAAGATAACGAGCTTCTTGTTAATGATGAGAAGTAGAAATTTGAAATCAGCTTCATCACTCCTAATATATGCTAAAGTTTGCAACATACAAGTACATGGATGAGATTGGAGCATCTCAAGGTGCATTTGGTTAAGACAGGTTTTGGTTCTTAATTTCACTATAAATATTTAAAAGAATACATATATTGATTTCTTCTATTTAATTTTCACTTTTAGAACATGTCTGGTGCTATTAACAGAGTATCTTGTCTGTTTCTTGTCCTATTTAAGATTCAACATCAAGAGCCTTTCCTGAAATTTCAATTTCCTCCCTCTTCCACTTACAAACAATGAAAATAACATTTTGTTGCCTTCTACATCTTTAGAAAATTACTTTTCAAGACTCCACAAAATTCAAAAGCAGGGTAAGCTGGATGCATTTGACCACTTTCTGTTGTCGTTGGAAATGAAAACTGCAAAACTAGGGGCGGACGAAGTTTTCCAGATGATACCATAAACCACTCTGTACATATACCACAAGAAGTACAGAGGGAAAAGATACACAACAGATGGACTATAGAGAAAATTGTTAAACCTTAGCAGTTAAGCGGGAGTCATACTTATCTTTAAATCGGCCAGTATAGCAGTAGCAGATTTTTGGGCCTGACGCAGGAACGGTTTAAGCCTATAGGACAACGGTAGAAACTACCAGGTCACACAGTGCTTAAACGTACATCTCGTATAATATCAGATGTTATTTTCTCATGAATAGTTTTGAGTAAGATCGGGCACATGTAGTCCGATGGAACCTCCGATTGTCTGCTCGTTCTTGCAGCCTATCGTGAGACAGCACATGAAAATTTAAGTAAGCTGAAAGTAACAGCAGCTTGAAAATGGTCATGATGCCAATCCAAATTCACTGCCACACTGCAACGTACCACGCAGTTGTCTTATGAAACAGCCAATTGAGAGGCAACTTCAGGTTAACTTCTGTATGACCAGATATGTTATTAATTAAAAATGTCTTGTGCAACAATACTGTATATAACAGATGTTAATAAATAACAATTAATTTTTCTGATTAGAATGATTTCATGCACCTGAAGATCAAAGCTCCAAAAGGTGAATTTGTCTAAGGCACCTCTTTGCAGAGGACCTGCAAAGTGTCATCGAGTCAAACCTCGCTGCAAGCTGTATACTCTTACAATACCAAGCCTGTATTGTGAGGTAGTCAATTTGTCTGTGTGCTGTGAGGTCATCAAGATGATGGATCTATCTAGATGGCTTTCCAGATGTTGACTTGAAGTCAATCAATGCCCACAAAAGCCAAAGTTGCCCACTTTGGAAAAAGAAGCGAAGACTGATGATCAAGCGTGATTGATTAGCTGGTCATTGTCATTAACAAATATCACTTGACTATCAACAGCTTAATCAGTTAATATTGTGAATAGTAACTTTCACAGAGGCAAATTTACTTTCGGCCTATTAATAGTTCCACGTGCAAGGACATGGTGCGGTTTTGGGGATTTTGGTGTTTGTCGTATGGGTTGGTGTTCCTTGGCGGTCAAGTGTGAGCAGAGTCGGTGGTGGCGAGTGCGATAAGAGTCAAGGCAGTGGCGCGTGGGGGCGGAGGGAGTGGCTCTTAGTGGTACGGAAAAAACACGTGCTGCAAGAATAGAAGTATCCGGCTCTAGACGATGATTAGACTAGTCAAAATGGGTCATAAACCCATTTCTTAACTCATGTTTGATGGACTGAATTATTATATGGGTTAGTCATAATCAGTACATGAATCATAAATGGGTTTAGAATGGTAAAGTTCAAAATAATATGTGTGTTAAATGGGTTCACAACTTATTCAGACTCAACCCACCTCTATGACCCTCTCTTCACTCTCTCTCGCCCTTGCTCGATCTTGCGCTCGCTTACTCTGCGCTCTCACTTCAGTTTGAGTAAATGAGTTTTCCTAGATTGTATTAAATATGGAATTGTTTTAGCACTATAGGAGTCCTCTCGCCTTGTGATTTTAAGGAGGCAGTGGATGAGGCAGCTCTACATCTCCAAAAAGATATCTGAAACCGAGGATTGACAGATCAATTGGTCAGCTAACTCTTTTAGGATTCTGTTATTCGTCATGCATATATGGCTATGCTTGATTCAGGAACGTGGACATGTTATTTCATCTTCAGTAAACATGTATGGCTATGCTTGATTCTGTTATTCGTCATGCATATATGGCTATGCTTGATTCAGGAACGTGGACATGTTGTTTCATCTTCGGTAAACATATTTGACGCAAGAAGTCCCTGAATGTAGGACTTCTGTTCGTCTAGGAAAGTCGCTGACGATCAAGACACAGCTTTTGGTTGAAACATTTATACAGCGCACAAGAAGTGGCAGCACCAAAATGAGCAAGTAAGCTAAGAGTGGATGTACTACTGAGATTTTGAAGTTTGTCGATTTACTCCTCCTTGTAATGCAACTACTTACAGTCAGAATCTGTCTCGATCAATTTGCAGATATCTTCCGTCGTTTTTTCCTCTACTAATTATGGCATTGGTTCATCCTCCAAGTATTTCTTGATCAATGATGCTCGAGATGCATTTTGGGGATAGATTTTCGGGTGAATTATTGTCCTCAGAAGCTGTACCATGAACAAGAAGGGTTAGCTAATTAATTTGATTTAGTTTACAATGACACTTTGTGCTGAGAATGAAACAGCCCAAAATTATGACAATAAAATGAGTCCAAGGATAAACGAAGGTCATCTCATTCTCATCTCATAAGATGGTACGAGACAAGGCTTTGCAAGAATCTCTAACTAAATATGACATCTGGAAGCCAACTTAAACCGCAAGTTAGACAAACGTGAAATTGGATCATGAGTAGGGGAGGCTATGTTTTGGAAAGTAAACTGGTGTGCGAGGTTGTGGTACAGACTAAAGAGTTTTACAATACCCATAATCCACCAATTTCTAATGACTGTAAAGTTCAATTCACGGTTTTAATGCAGGAACCTTCAAATATTGATCAAAGAAAAACTCAAAACCATGTATGGACCTTCTGCATCCTTGATTTATGAAGTGTACCTCTCAAAGTGGGTGCTGGGCCTGCTGGCATGAATTTACTTCTGCAGACAAACATCTTCTTGATAAGGAAAGATAATGACTCTTTCGCAGATTGCATTCTTGTTATTATCTGTGCAATTCCTCGCATCTACGAAGTATCACACTGACAGTCCGCTCGATATCAATCTCGTCATCATCATAGTCATCTCAATCACTGTGAAACAAACTGCCGATTCTGCGGTCCACCTCCAAACTTGAGGGGCAGTTGAGGAGTCTATCCAGCGGGAGGTCCATGATTTGTTTGTCTGTTTCGCTGCTTGTTTTTAAGGGACAAAAGCTTGGTTAGCTCTTTCTGTAGCTTTGTCGGATGAAAATGATTCTCCAAGAGATCTTGGTTTTCCCGGCTTCCCCTGAAATCACTTTTCCCAGAAGTCCCAATTGCGAGTAATCCATGTGGCCAGTCGTCAAACTCTTCTCTTCTCAAGGTTCTAGTTTCATCTGATCTGAACCATTAAGGCCTAACAAGAAAAAAAAATTCGCCAATGCAAGAGACGAATGCAAGATAACATGAAGTTCGTGTATATCTACATCAATGTGGTCTACTCTCAATAAAACTCGTGTTCCAGAAGTGAAATAAGAACAGATGCCTCTGAATTCCTCCAAGATATTATGTGGATTGGAAAAGTGGGAACCTTTGTATCGTGATACAAAAGTTGTAGGCTCTGAGTAGATTCCTAGTTATTATAATCAAGAGCATGCAGTCATGTAAGGAAATGATAAGCACGTTCGCTGACCACGAAAGCCCCCGTTCACAGCACATTTCAGTAAGCAAGTGTAGTGTACACATGGCAGCATGCTCACGTCGCGTTCACCTGAGGAGAGAAACGATCGATTAAAGGCCTTTAATCCTACCCTAATCAGAGTGTGGTGTCTCCTTAGCTTTCTCAGCTTTTGCAGTGTACAGTATAAGTCAAGAATCATCCAGTAGAAAGACATGCCAAAAAACAGTACTTACGGTGACAAGTTGCTGAAAACTGCATCGGCTTTACGACTATACTCCTGTCTCACGTTCAGCTTGTTCCGTATCCAGCTGAAGAGCTGCAATCAACCTAAAGCAGTGGTTAAGTTAAAAGTGACGTGAGCAAATGAGTACTTTTTTGTGCATTTGTCTGCGAGAGAACAGAGTATGAATTCAAAGAAAATATCATCATCGCAACGGATGATTTTACCTTCATCTTGAGTCAAGAGGATCGTGGAGATTCTGGGATGAAGGCGCTGAAGGTGGCTGAGCTATAGATAGGATTAGGTAACGCGGTTCAAAATGGTCGATGTAGGCATTTAAAATTGGATACAATGAGCTTGTGGAAACCAGCTGAACAGCTTTTCTTGGTGGTTCTGAGTGCCTGAACGCGGCCTTCTCTTGCCACTTGACTCTCCCATGAAAATATATCAGATTAAGCCAATTTATAGATGAAGTGACAGACAGAATCAAGAAAAGTGCACGACTTAAGATGACGCGACGACATGGATGCTCGATAGAGCTAAACAAGTTCTATTTGTATGTTAGTCGTGGGATGTGGAGCTTCAAAGCTCCCCTCCATGCACGGGAAACGAAGACCACTGGCGTAAGAAACCAAGGAATGTCACTCCGACCAGATAGGATACAAAAGAACTTAAGAGGGTGTTCAATGATACAGGTGTCTAAACAAAGGAGTCAATATCCAAAAACAAGCAAGTTATTCGGTACCTTATTAGCTCTAAAATTTGAGCGGATAAGGAGTCATCCCATCCTGTTCAAAACGATTCGATTGTCCTTTCATTAAGATATACGAATAAGTATGAAAAGCTAAGCTGTTTTTGCAAATCATGCATAGAGGTTTAGAACTCCGTCTTGGAACGAGACTGCGTACAACTTGCATGCACATCTTTCCAAGATGTTCCTCTGTGAACCAAATTCGCATACGCTTTTGAAGCCAAAGATCTCCAGATCACACGAAGAGAACCATCTGCAAAAATTGCCATAATAGCACAAACTGCGCAAGGCAAGGCTCCCGTTTCAGAAACAGATCTATGCAGGCAGAAATCAACACCAAGCAGAACACAACGACCTTGAAGTCCTCATTTTAGAGAAAGAATCATTTTTGTAACTTCATTGAATTTTGAATCCATAAGGTCAGATCAATGTCCTCCTTTTCTCATCCCAGGACCAAACAGATCTTGTTCTGTACATGTATCTATCATAATCATAATTATACAACTAATAAAAAATCACATATGGCTGGCCCAACAGGCTGTGTTAGTTACTCCACCCAACCACAGTACTCGCAGCAGGACCCGTGCTCGACACTGTTGGGCCACGGTTATACATGCGCTGGATTTCTTCCCGGTACTCTGTCAAAGACTTGTCGGGTAGGGCTGGCGTAAGTTCCACCACATCCCCCATCCTCAGTTTGCAGGTCGGGTCGCCAACGGGCTGGCGGTTCAGCCTCGGCCTCAGTTCTTCCTTCAGAGAGAAACCATAGGGCATCCATCTGGCACTTCCTCGTCCTGCTCTTTCTAACAAGTCCATCATTGTAGAATCCGCTGGGTATTCTTGAACAGACATCTGCATTGACCAGATAAAAGTATTCTCAAGAAAGCATACGCATCGATCATGGCCCAACTGACTTCAACAAGAACTACGAAGTGCATGCCCGAAAAAAAAAAGTATTCTAGACTGTTTGCCAGTTAAAGGAAAAAACAGAGCAATCTGAACCAACCTTATCATTCTCAATCACGATCACAAAGATAGGTCCACTGTGGTCATTGTGAGGCTTGTAAGAGTACGGACAATCGTCAGAATGAAAAGGGAACTTGCATGGAGGCTTGAAGGAGTGTAAATATCCAATAGATGAATTATCTTTGCTCATTGTCTCACAATGCCAGGTGATGACCCATCGTGCCCATTCAACCATCTGAAGAACAGAGGAAGAGTGCTTGCACTCGCCTTCTTTGTATCTCCAATGTGCTGCAAATCCAAATTCAGCTTGCAGGTGCATTTCTTTTGTCCGAATTTGAACTTCAAGAGGTATCATTCCATCACCCATCACAACCGTGTGGAGAGATTGATACCTGAACATAGAATCTTGGATTAGAAACATAATGTGCACAAGAATATACAATCTGCATAATTTGTCAAAGACCTACCCATTGAACTTTGGATGAGTTATGTAGTCCTTAAACTTTCCGGGAATTTCAGACCATAATTGGTGAACAATTCCTAAAGCTCTGTAACAGTCTTCCTTTTTCTCAACAATCAGTCGCAAGCCATGTACATCATGGATATTATCCATAGTCAGGTTTTTTCTGCACAAGAAAATCTCCCATAAGTACTATCACAACACTTTTAACAAAAAAATATAGAGAGGTTTAGAATGAGATCACTTTCAGAGATCACCATTACCAATTCACTAGTACAACTACAAAACTCTGTGTACAGAATCGTAAGGACATGCTCCAGTATTTTGCAACACCTCATGTATCACAATTATCGTGGTTGTTCACACTTATGGCAGCAATATTTTTTCAAGTCTCAGTAATCACTTCAGAAGTGCAAGGACATGAAATAGGTATAGCCAACTTTTAGGTCCATACTTTCCTAAATTTAAATGTGATCAGGAGTCAAGACTTAAATATTGTGCAGTTACTGGCATTCACAGATTAACATTGAGTAAATGCCTGAGCAAAAAAGCGTGCCAACAGACGTGTGCCCACGAGAGAGAGAGAGAGAGAGAGAGAGAGAGAGAGAGAGAGAGAAATTACTTCAACATCTTGCAATGAATGCTATACAAACTTTTGTGCCTCCCAGAAAGGAAATGATAAGAAATTGACTGGTTCTTAAGAGCTTGCTCAAGCTTCTCTATGGCAGAAGCGATTATTGTCTCGTCATAAGACTCTAAACGCTGAGAGGACAGTTCCTTGTGTCGGTCAGGGTTAAGATGCTTAAAACACAGGTTTTCTAGCTCTTCTTTCCAACTAGATATGCCCAAACGGTTGGTCAAGGGTGCAAATATTTCCAATGTCTCCTTTGCAAATCTCTGTTGCTTGACAAGAGGCAACGCATCCAGTGTCATCATATTATGCAGACGATCTGCTATTTTGATGAGAACAGCCCTTGCATCTGCCATAGCAAGGAACATGGTATGTAATCGATCTGCCTCAGCAGTCTTGCTTGCTGTATTACTCTCTCGTGCAAGCTTGCTTAATTGACTTAGCTTGGAGACCTACATCGCAGAGTTCGTTAAAATATTAGTAAAGAATAATATCTTGCAGTAGCATTGGCAGACATACACAGCATCTGCAAAGAAAGGAGTAGTAGGTACAGATGAGAAGACATGTCGAGTTCCTTCATAATATGATCGTGATGCACCTCCATGCTAAAATGCGGTCAATTATGTGGAGATATATCCACCACCAAATATCCCCGTAATGACGGTTGACAGAAAAATAGAGAGGAAACTCTAGTTCTAATTTATCAAGGTTTTGAGGAAACTGCTCAGCTCCAGTTAAGCTCCAAATATCGTTGACATTATTTAAAAATGGATATGATAAAATTGCTTGAAGAGCATCCCAAATCTAGGCCTGCCTCGGTCACGATATCTTCAAGACCAGGACATCATCGCATTGGTCAGAACCAATGGCATTCCATACAGACGACCTTTCGTGAACGTTCTATGCTGTAAACTAGATGATGAGAGACAGACAATGATGGTCACATTCCAATCATCACAAAGAAATCAACTAGAGAAAAAAGGATATTAAAAATGGTAATTTTCACAGATCTTACACCATCAGACCTAAAGGAGGAGCCTGTCCTCAATTGCTTTATGCAGCAGAAGTAGGACTCTATATATACTATTGCCCAAGAACACAGTAAAAACATCATAGCACAGTCGAAAAACAAATTGAAATGTCTTGGGTTACAATTACTCTTCAAAGATAAAAATTCTAGCAAGATTCAGTACATATATATATTCTCTCTTACCCCTTCAACCAGATCAGCAACGCTAGATCCAAAATTCCTGCATATGTCGTCATATGTCATTTTTGAATCATCAAGTGTGTCATGCAATAACCCCGCAGCAACCACCGTAGAATCAACACCAATCAGTGCCAATAACACTGCAGTCTCCACGCAGTGCTGCAAATATGGATCGCCACTCGCCCGCATCTTCAACATACATAACCAAAGAGAACTCGATAAGAAAATAACCAACAATCAATCTCGAACAACTCCAAACTTTTAGCACTCAGTTATCAAATCAACTCAAATTAACACCATACCTGCCCTCTGTGTGCCTTCTCGGCCTCGTAGAAAGCCTTCACCACGAAATTTTCACAGAAGATCTTGTGCCTGGACTGTGCACCCACCAATAACTCCTTCGCATAAGGCTCAGTATCAAGTTCCAACGAATTCTCCTCCAAATCGAACGTCAACTCCTCCACATCAACGGCATCTCTCAACTCAAAAGTATTAGAATCATAGTCCACACAAGAGCCCAATGCATTCCTAACAAAGCCATCATACATAACTCTCGACCCACCTCTAACTTCTCGCGAAATCCTCGTGGGAGGACTCTTTATGGACCCATTTCCACACGAGACCGGACCCTGAAAAACCGAAACCGGACTCTGATGATCCCTCTTCAACGAACCGATGAATTTACTCGGAGAATAACGGAACGAGCTACTAAATTCCCTGAAATCGTCGCTTCTATCGTGCCACAATTGCCCCAATTCTTCTCCTCCTCCGCCGGCGAAGCTAGAGCCGGAAGCTTGCTTGACGCCGGGCGACGAGAAGAGGCACGAGAGGCCGCCGACCATCTTCTGCGACGGCGAACAAGACGACGAAGACGCCGCCGACGAGGTGGCCTGCGACGATCTGGAGCTCAATTCGAGATCGCACCAGACGTGGGCGTTGATCTGGTGGGCGGCGGAGCACACGCCGCTCGGCGGGCCCGCGTACAGAGCTATCGTCGGGCCGGCCATCGAACTCGCGAGCTCAATTTCAGCTCCCTAGGGGTTTCAGATCAAGATATCAACTTCGACGTCAAGCTATCATATTCTAAATCACAAACCAAAAATGAAGAGCTAACTGAGTTCCACCCAAGATCAAAATCGCACCGACGTACCTCAATTTCTGCTCCCGGAAAGGAATCCCGAGCGATCGCCGCGGGCCGGGAGCACGTCCCCCTCTCCCTCGCAAGATCGACAGTGTTCCCGAGAAAGCTGACGGTTTTCCAGGAAAACCAGTGATTTCCCCCTCCGCCACTGTTATCTCACGAGCGAGATATGGTCGAACATAAAGGAGTTCGTAATAGAAAAGTTCGTGCGCGCGGTTTTTTTTTTCCCGAATGAATCGGTATGATCGAACATCAAAGGAGGGCCCTCGATTTTCTTGCGGAGAGGGAGAACCGGGGAGAGAGATTTTCTCGGCGCGTCTGATTTTCCTGGGAAAGCTGAGGATGCCTCCCCGTTCTTAAAAACTGTTGCTTCGCGTCCGGTTCATCGGGGTGGGAGGGGGGGAAAGAGAAGGAGGGGGCCGGAAATTACGCGGCTGCCCTCGTGGGAAGCACGCCAAAATTCAGTTGCCTTTGCTTCTTACGAAAGGAAAGCGGTCTTGGCATTAGTCTTTTTTTTTTATATAAAATTCTTGGCATTAGGTTCGATTAGGGATGAGTATAGTTTGGATGGGCAGTTCCCAACATAGAACCGAGAACCGCCCACTAAGAACAGGTTCCGAGAATTTAGAATCGGGAACTGCCCATTGGTTCCATGGATCCACCAGAACCGGACCACGGCCCCGTCCAATTCCCGGGTGGGTCCATAGAACCGGTCCCATCAAATTTCACGCAAATGGAGGTGATCGAGAGTGAGAGAGGGAGGCGATGAACAGATACAGATATAGGCGCGGTCGCAAGTTGATGAGAGTTGAGAATCGAGCTTTAAATTATGAATTTTATGGTTTTCAATTTTTTAAAAATGTTTTATTTTTTTTTACTTGAAATTTTTCTTAAAAATTATATATATATATTTATATATTATCGGTCCGGTCTGGTTTCGGGCGGTTCTCAGTTCTTTTACACACCCCTAGGTTCGATTGCTGTATAAATCTTTTTTTTTTCTTTTCCTTGAAAAAAACATGGATCGGGATTCGACAGAGCAACCGAGGATAAATTGGGGAATCGAACCCGTGACCTTCGATTTGCGGACCGAGTATTGGACCGCTCGATCTAGCCTCCAGTTGATTTTATGTTATTGCTGTCGTTATTCCTTCATTATTTTAATGTTGGTGCTGACTATGATCATCCGGATTTGGATAATGCAAGGTTGTTGGATCATTTCTCTTGGAACGGTTAGACATAGTCCCATGAATATAAATATTGCAAGCGGGTTTTGTTGTCTTCCAGATCCTTACAAAGTAATTTTCAAATTTTTTTTTATGAAATCGAAATTTTTCAACATTTTGATCCGGATTAATCTGCAACCACTTCTAATCGAGCGTTTGCGAAAAAGGAGGGGCTTCTTGTATGGATTGAATTCCACGACATCATTTATATATATAATAGTTTCTAAGGTGAAAAAATGATTTTCTGAAACGATCGTCGTCGCAAAATCTTATTCGCATCGTCGCATCTTTTTTCCTTTCTTGTTCGCTTTAAACGTGCTAAAACTAATATCGTTTATTTAAGGCAAATCACTGGACATAATCAGAATCAAGTATCGACAACTCGTTCAAGCGACGATGATCATATCGCGATCGCGACCCGCGAAAGCTCTCTCGTGCTTTCACAAATTTCTTTTCCTTTTCTGTTTCGTTTTTTCGTGATCGAGTCGAGTTTTTCGAGGCACCGAAAGAAGGAAACAAACAAGGAATTATGCAAAAATCTCGGACTGGATCATATGGATTAGATGGGATCATTATGCAGATCAGATGAAGGGAAAGACTTTCTTGCGTTGACTTTTCGGAATGCTGCATATGTGGGAGCTAGAACGGACACTCGGGGGCAAGACTTTACATGATAACGATGAATTTGCTAAATTCAAAGTACGAGAGTAGTCTAGTTACTAGTAGCCCCAAAAAGATTAATTAATGGGGGAGGATCCATGATTCAATACTTATCTTCTCCTTAATTTTTCTGTTTTAATTATGTTTTAATTATTGGGATCTGATGCTGGGAAGACAGCGACCGAGGAACTATAATCGTATCACAACGGATTAAATTAGATTAGATTAGATTAGAGGATGATGATGATGACGACGATGATGATTGGGTATTTTACTTGGAAAAAGAGACGAGGGTGCATGTGTATGATCCCTTTTTGCTTTAAAATAGACTCAAAAGTTCGACCTCAAAAATAAATAAAATAAATGAATAGGCTCGAAAGGGCTTTCGTGAGAGGAGGAGGAAGGGGGGGCGGCGGTGGGGCCCACCGTTTGATATTTGTGTTTGTGCGCATTGTTTGTTGTCCTTTTTTTATTTATTTATTATTATTTTATTCTATTCTATTCCCTCCCGAAGTGGAATCTCTTTTGGCACGAGGCGAGCAAGAATCCCACCGCGTTCACATTTGGAAAAAAAAAAAATAGAATTTCTCGACCTTTAATCTTTTTCTTTTTCTTTTTCTTTTTTTGCTAAAGAAGAATCCTTGTCGGACCTAAGTAAGCCATTATACCGTTTCGTTTGAACTCTGGGACGTTAAAATACAAGAGTATTCCCTAGGACGAAGAAAGAAAAAACTATCCCCTAATTAGGGAAATTAGGCGTGCGGGTACCGACACGTTCCGCCATGTGTATATACTTAGACAGACGAGGCAATCCTAGTCGGAGGCTTGCTTCCCCTATTTTGGTAAAGTACTCTTAGTAATCACCATCAATGATTTAAGGCAAGCCCTCGGACCTCTTCTGATTTTCGGGAATTATTGCAGTTCTTCTTAGGGTAGGGCATGGAGAACAAATGGGTGGATGTGCTTTCCTTTGCCTCTAATCACAGTAAAATTATGACGATGCACGATTAAATAATTGGTACATTTGTGAACAGTTGAAGTATCTTTTCAAAACACAACGGCATAAAGTTAATACAAATGCATTTTCTGAACATTTTAAATTCTTTTGACTCAAAATGCAATTGATTAGAGATGACATATCCGTCGTTGCTAGCAAGAATTTGAAGAAGTTTTTTTTTTAATTACAGTGAACTGTTCGATAATTAGTGGGACTAAAAATAAATTTCTATCGTGAATACCACATTTAAATCTTAAGAAACGACGTTTCTATTATCCTTGAGTTTTCAAAGGCATAAATGGACACGTCAAAATTAAAAGTTCAAGAACTCGATCGGGGAAAATGTACGTGCTCTAAAACCAAAAAGTACAAGAGTATCTTTCCCAAACGAGGCTCGTCGATTTTTCCGAATCTTTTGTCAATAATCTTCATGGAGGTTTAAGTAACGCCCGCATTTTCTAATTCGCTTCTAATTTTCTCTTCAGGTCAAACGAAAAGAAGAAGAAGAAATGTAGCCGAATCAAATATCGAATCAGATGCATGTTTTTCCAGTCACACATTTCACATCGTACAATAAGTAGTCAGTTTACTCGGCCCACAGCAAAATTACCTATCTCAAATTAGACGTGAGATGCGCAGCGATAGAAGGGTAATTTAAATCCGATATCTATTCAAAAGATACATAACGGATATACGAAAAAAAAAAAAAAAAAAAAAAAAGGGAAAAGAGGATGGAAAGGGGGGGGCAAAAATGACATGATAAAATGGAAGAAGAGATGGAATCCTCTCCATCTTTCACACGCGCAAGAGAAGAACTCGCCTTCCCGGAAGAAAGAAGAAGAAGAAGAAGAAGAAGAAGGAGGAGGGAGCTCGACAAGGACGCCCCCGCATCTTCCTCCCGCCCGCTCCCGACTTTGGCCTCATCCTTTTGGTTTTTTCTGTTAGATTCAGTTCCCTTGGTTCCCGCACGTGTCGGTTGAACAGCGGCGACCGCGGCCCATTATGGTCAGATTCCCCGTTTTACACGTGTCTTGTCTTTCCCCAACTGACGGCTCCTCTTGTCTTGTCCCCCCCCCCTCCCTCCCCCCCTTCTGTTTCTTAGGCCGCTGCTGACTCTGTCTCCACGATGAATCGAAGTCCGCTTCAATTATTTTTCAAGTACGTGGAAAAGCCACCCCCCCCCCCCAAAAAACAAAAAGTGGAGGCGCTTGCGTGGCGCTATCAAAAGTCAAAGGGCCTAAAATTTTGCGAATTTCACAATAATTATATAACAAGTTCAAAAAAATGATCATAACTCGACTCGTCGCTCAATTGAGAATTTAACAATAAATATGACAAATCGAGAGTGTGAAAATACGTGTTGACTCTCCGGGATTGTCCCCTCTTTCCCGCATGTGGTGCGACATGCGCCCACCTCGAAAGAGTTTGAAAAGGGGCATGTTTCTCGAGGGTCAATACCGTTGAAAACGAAACGCTTTTAACCACCAAATTCAGCATAGGCAAGCATTTTCCTGTGCTCTAATTTTGTGCACGGCAAAAATTCGTTTTGCTCTTATATTTGCTGCAACTTCACTATCTTTGGAGTTTTGAATGGTCGCGTCACGCATTGGATTGCGGAAAGACACGCCATGTGGTGGTGCCAGTCAAGTTCAGTGGGCTGTTGGTGTTGGCTTGGAGTGCCGACAGACCTCGATCGGGATGGGCTTGTGTTTAGAGTTGGAGTTGGAATTTTGCTCCGAGAAGTGAGGACCGACTGACCCTTCCTGGCGCCTCTGAATTTCTCCTTCGTTCCTACCAAACTCCTTGGAGAGGGAATTGGACGGTGGAGATTGAGTGCTGACTTTTCAGATCACCCCCCGACTCCAATTTTGTTTCCCGTTGGAAATTGGCACGCCCCGGGTTCAATTGTCAAAGCCGGCCGACCTCCTTCACATCCGATCATGCTCGGCCGGCTACGATCGAACGACATCTTTGCCTAGGCAAATTTTCATTTGTTTATTAGTACAGGGAAATTGATTTCCTCTATGTCAGAAGAGGGAATTGTTTTGAGGGCCAATCTAAGCTTGTTTTCAATCAATAGAAATTGTTTTTTCTGTAAAATTGCTTAGTTTTTCGTGATCCAAACACGAGAAAGTCGCAAAATTATTTCCCAGAAACGGTTTTCCTACATTCAAACAGATCCTCAAGCACCGTTAAATTTGTTAAAATGTCCAATCCAAATGTTTAAGATAATAAGTAGAAGAAGACTACTTGTACATAAAGAGCATAAAAACTATAGATAAGCGACGAAGGTTACTTTAACACCCCTCTCATATGCAAGCCGAATTATGAATAATATGTGGAATTTGACAATTGGCAGGCTGCACAAGCAAAAATAAACTAGATGGGGAACTTGATCCCGATACCGTACTGGAACATTCAACTCAATTCAACCCAATACTTTCTAAGAAAACTCAATTTAATATCATTATTGCTTTTGTTGTTATTTTATTTGATAGATGCATGGTGTTGAGTTGTGGATTATTAATCTGTCACAAGGCATTATGTTACCGCCACTGGGCTCATGCACACACATGTCCCGCCACATGGAGCAATCATACCACTTATACACACACACAGATATATATATATTGTTTACATCCAGGCATTATTCTTAAAGGTAAGAATCACGCGTCTACATCGAATTATCTTACAATTAGCTTTTGCAAATTAGCTTTTTTGACAGGACAAAATGGAACATTCAAATGATAGTAGAGGTCGGCCAAGAATCTCATCTAACGATGCAGACTGATCCGAGGATGCATGCGCCCAACCTGTGCAAGGTCGACAGCACTGGTCCATGCCCCATTCTCTCTTTTGTTCCTATCCCTATGCATTTAAAACGGCAATCTTTATTTTATCATGTTCGTATTTTTATGATTCAAAATGTATGGGTACAGAGATTTGACTGTTAGTGGTCTGTCCTAGAAATCACTCAAGGTTGATACTCTAATATTAGTTGTGGATTAGGTTGTGTCGGAAAATCGACCTTCACTATACTTAGGTAGTTATAATGTCTTGCTAGAGACCGCTTATGACTTGTGGGCCAAAAAGGATTTTGAGCACACTGCTATTAACGTTTAGTGAACCTACAGGGTCGCACACAATAGCGAACTGAGTTAATATTTTCTTTGCGTCGGGATCTACTTAAAATAAGAAGTAGATTTTAATTTATTCTCCTATTCAACTTATCTACGCAGTCGTGCACGTTATGAGATAACGATTAAACGTACGATTAAAGGTGGACAGTTTGGCGGGCCCAAATCGCCCGGCCCCACTTCTTTTAATTCGCGTAGATAATGAGGCTATATATGTAGCGTGTGGGTGACGAAAAACCCTACAGTTGCCTCTAAGAGAATACGAAGAGAATCGTTCTCTGTTTTAGAGATCTTTGAGAGAGTCTCGAAGATCATAGGCGATCAGGAAAAAGAAGTCCAATATCTTTAGCTAGCACTTGGATCGTTGGAGACTTCCGTTCGTGTGTGTGGATACCGGTAGAGGCGTAACACTTGGGGCGCTAATCCAGACACAATCGATTGTCAATTTACCTTCGATCTGCAAAAGGTACGTGTCGAACTTCTGTTTAGATTTCAATATACGCATGGATCTTGTCTAGGTTTCGATTTATAAATTCCGCTGCGTTTTTAGCACTAGAGGAACCCTACATTGACCACCTCAATTTTTTTTAGGGGGGCTACCTCAGGTTCAAAAAAGCACTCTGTAAGCCCGACAAATCGGTTTAGTTCGGACGTTATGCCTGTGGAAGGGACCCCCCGAATCAAAACACTTCACATGCGCCTATCCTCGTGTCTTTTTTGTCTTATGATATCTTTGATATCTCTCTTTAAACTATATTATATTCGAAAGTGCCCACGCCACGTTCATGGCGGGGCATATGAATGTCTGTAACTGTGGCCAACGCGTGACACGTGCATGCTTGTTGTTGTAAGGGGGGTGCATGGCACGCGCATGCACGTTGTGTGAGACATCGAGATTGCGTGCGACCGCTTCGCGGAGAGGCGTGGGGAAAACGTGCAAAGCCCCAAAACGACACGCTGTTTTCGTTCTTCTTCGAAAGCCCGGGTGAGGATGAACAGTTGGACTTGGCTCACACGCCACGTCTCACTGACTTTGGACATTGCTCCAAAAGGTCGCCCTCATCTCATCTCCATCCTCTCATCTCAAGCAAACTCTATTGTAGTAACGTATATCGATGATGTATCCGTGTGCGATACGGAAGTTCATATCCATATGATCGCCGGAATTCGTACCCAGTTGAGTGAGTCGTATGTAGTTTTTCCTTCTTTCACAGCTACGGGATATTCACATGTCAATTTTTTTTTACAGTAAAGTAATCTAATAACTGAGTGTGGCAAATGGCGATCCCCCGTTCCATAGCAATTCACGCATCGAGTGTGCCAAGAATTTGAAGAACTGAAAACGGGCGCGGGGTCGGAAGGGGATTGGGAGGTAAGGAATGGTACATGTTTGTTGTCGTACCTAGTAATGTGAACATCTCCATGCTAAGTTAGTAGAACGGTCCTGAGCAAAGAAAACACTGTTTTCAGTTGACAAAGGAAGTGAATGCGTAGTGAAAAGAGTAACAATAACCCTGTAATCTCGTACAATTGAAGAAGAAGATAGTAAGTATCACAGAATAGAGCCAGGCCTGGCTCATCATGTACTGGGCCGTCAGAGACTAGTCATGGGCCATGAACTGAAAGCTACCCAGCAAAATAAAATCACCATTAGCTTCTTAGTCATGGAATCTTTGCTAATGATGTGATTCAGACCCTCACACTTTTCTGTATAATGTTATTTTTTTGGGTTAATACCACGAAAAACCCCAAATCAATATACTTGTGACAAATTTACCCCAAACTATGACAAATTTACCCTCCATTAGCTTCTGTCAAATTTCACCATTAAATTTGCTGACGTGGATGACACATGGTGACGTGGCAAGTCCACGTGGAAATCCATATGGTAAATACCATGAAAAATTGCAAATTGGTCTGCTAATAGAGGGTAAATTTGTCACAAGATCACTAGTTTGGGATTTTTGGTAGTCAAAAAATTAGTTTAAGGTAAATTTGTCACATGTGTACCAGTTTGAATGTTTTATGGTTAAAAAATTAGTTTTTGGTAAAATTGTCACATGTGTACCAGTTTTGGATTCTATTGGTCAAAAAATTAGTTTGGAGTAAATCTGTCACAATTGTATCAGTTTGAGGTTTTTCATGGTATTAATTCTTTTCTCTTTTGTTTGGAAAACCAGTAAGTTTATCTTATTTGACCGCAAGGAGGACTCCAGATTCTGAAGTCATCCTCAGAAATTCTCTGTTTCCTCCCATTTATATTCTTTGTGGGCCTTAGTTGCTTGAGGAGTCAGACGTACTCATAGCAGTTGACCCCTTCAATAGGATCACCTCGTCACTAATTTCTGTAGAATACAGAATTTTCAGAACCTAAAATGACCACCGTTACTTATGTAGTCAAGTCCAGTTGCTGACATAATAGATTGAAATCTTGGTTCTGATCACTTGTCAAAAAAAAAATAGAAAGAAAAAAAAGAAATCTGGGTTCTAACCACACGATCCAGCCAAATTAGGAGACGTTCCATAAATCGCTCCAAATGTGAAGGTTTCTTCAAGCAGACCGTACTATGTGCAAATGCAATCGGCCTTCTAAATGTCGAAAGGTATGAGGCGAGAAATTACCGTGCTAAATCTAGTACTTCGAGCGTGCTCGGTGTAGGACAGTGATTATGAAGTTTAAACTCGTCGTGCACCGAGCCAATCGCATTTCGTGGTGCGAAAACGAATCCCAAAACTAGTTTGACTCTTGTTATATCATCTTGCAATTGAGTCCATTCTGAATTTTCTTCCTGGGATCAACAGTTGCACCCCATTAAGTGTGCAAAGCTGTCTATTCAACTTTGGAGATGAACCAAATCAAAAATGTTAGGCCGAGCAACGGCGTTATAGTTGGGTCTTTGACTGGGGCATTATTGACATGGATACGAAGTTGTTTTGACCAGGGAGCGAATCCGAGGGATTTTATGAATGCATAGACAATTTTGTGGTATGAACAAGTGTCAGATTTATCGACAGCCACCTTCCGAAGTCTTCACATGTGGAGTGACCACATACTAGATACCAGACCGGGGACTCTATTTCAAAGATGCTTATGAAGTATTGAAGTTCCTGCACTGGGATTAAAGTCATGCGAGGATTCAAGAATCGTCATGAATGTTTGTTTCGAAATAATCGGTATGAGATTAAAAGTTCAGTATAGTTGCCGAAGAGAGTGTACATGTGTATAAAGTGAGGATCAACTCCACAAATAAATTGATATGAGATGACTTCAATAGTTTTGAACGCGAGTCTGTTTATGTTAATTACAGTAAAAGTCAGTATAGCAGCAAACCCACATATTGGCCTGCACGAACTGGATTGTTACTTTCCTGAAGAATTTTTCCAGAGGATGGTCAATTTCATTGGCATTTCTTTTCCAAGAGCACGCTTCAGATAATTTCTTAAGTGTGCGCCAACAATTTAGACGGTGTGCCAAGAAAAAAGCTATACTGGTGAGCTTGATCGAAAAACTTCTGTGCTTATCTGGTAGCAGAAACTCTATCGTTAACGAAGTGTTCTAATCTTCTATATCTTCCTTTGATTCGTTGTTGGATTTTGGACAGTACAAACTTGTCCCAAGAGCAGAATACAAAGCTGTGTCTGAGAAGACGGCGCGTGACCTCGAGGCCCTTGTTCGACGCCTGTGCTTATGGGCTCTCTTTTGCCGGCAGTGACCTTTCATATTCTTTATTTCCACCTCCTTCTCTTCGACTCTGTTTTCGTTTCCAGGTTCAATTTGGTCTTCTTCAACAGCATCTTCACAATTGTTCACGCTAACATCTTTGTCTAGCGCAGGATCAATGTGCACAAAGGACCTGACAGGGATGTCATCTAAGTCCATAATTGTCTCCAATGTCTTGACCACCGTTTGCATACTGGGCCGGCACTTGGGGTTTTGATTGAGGCACTGATGAGCCAACAGGACTGCCCTTTTGGCTCCCTCGGTCGAGTACAGACCTTCGAGTCTCGGGTCGATTATCTTGTCTAATTTGTGGGTGTCTTTCAACGTTGGCCTGGCCCAATTCACCAAGTCTTTCTCTCCGGTCGGACGGCTCTTGTCGACTGACCGTCGACCTGTTATCAGCTCCAAAAGTACTACTCCGAAGCTGTACACATCACTCATTGTCGTCAAATGGCCTGAAAATATTTATTGAGCAAACATAAGTTTATGTATCGGCAGCGTTGGAGAAAAAAATGAATTGGGTGTGTGCTCGATGAAATGCCACAAATGAACAGATAAATCATCACCTGTAGAAATGTATTCTGGGGCTGCGTAACCTCGGGTGCCCATGACTCGTGCCGTGACATGTGTATTGTCGCCTAGAGGACCGTCCACTGCTAGCCCAAAGTCTGAGAGCTTGGCATTGTAATCCTAAATTGAAATGCCAAATCAATGACACTATCAGGATGTATATCACCAATATAGGATATCAAGTAGTGAAGCGTCACACCAATTGGTGAACAGAAATCAGAGGGAATAGAACATTACAGAGTCCAACAACACGTTTGAAGCCTTGAAGTCGCGGTAAATTACCGGTTTCTCTCCTTCGTGGAGGAAAGCCACGCCTTTGGCAGCTCCAATCGCAATTTTTATTCTGGTTAGCCAAGGCAAGGCCAAAGAGTACCCTGCATAAATCATAAAGCAATAAGAACATGTTATGTAACCAAACTTACGTGATATCAAGGTTATAAACATTCAGTAGCTGACAGTCATCTTTCTGGGGTCTCATGCGAAAAAAGTGAAATTTGCAGTAGTGAAGATAATATGGTTACTGTTAAATAGTTGGTCTTCTAAGTTTCCCCGCTCCATGTACTGGTACACTAGAAGCCTATGCTCGTCTTCACAGCAATATCCGATCAAGTTGACGAGATGAGGATGCCTTAGTTGCCCGAGAAATATAACTTCAGCCTAAAGAAAGTACACAGAAGAAATACAGTCCCAATTCATTTAATTTGTGAAGCACAACTTAAATGTGGGTATATCAGCTAACGAGACGATATGACTAAAGCGACTTACCAGCCACTCCCTATGACCTTGTGTGCCATCTAAATCCAGCATCTTAACCGCCACCACTTGAGCCTTCAACTTTGGCCTCAGGCCGTCATCTATCATGCCCTTGTACACTACCCCAAACCCGCCTTCACCGAGGTAATTGCTCTTCGAGAAGTTGTGAGTTACCGTCTTCAGCTCGACGAGCGTGAAGATATGAAGGTTGGACCCCACCAGGGAACTGGATAGATCATTCATTGAGATTTGCGAACCATGATTGCTAACATCGGAGAGTGACAATCTCTGAAAAGAGGCTTGCTTGGAGATACGGCTTTTGTACTGAGTGGATGTGGTTTGAGCCTTGAAACAACCAGGGACAACACAGTCCCACGGAAGCCTCTTGAGAGCCATAGTTTTTCTGAGGAAAGTAGGGTTCAAGTGATAAGGTTTATATATAGAGATTTCACACAGTCAAGAGAAGATATTGGATCCTCAATTAAGAAAAGTTGAAAAACAAAAAGTGGGGTCCGGAGCTAATTTGCAGACTAATCAAACATAGTCCTAGACGTAATCCTAACCAACCACTTTAGTTTCCCTTATCAGCAAACATTCATTTGCTCTTCCCACAATGAATTGTTCCAAAGTCAACAACAAGGACCTTAAAGAAAAAAGAAAAACTCCAAGCCCTTCTTCAATGGTCAGTTGATGTGTGTGATGATAGAGAGAGATTAACAACAGAAATTTTCAGAAAGGTCTGTAATTATTTCTGTACAGAGCAACTTGAATTATACTTAACGTTGTCTGATGTAATCAAAAGTCTTGTCTTTTGTTCTGTCTCTTTCAGCCTAATCTTGCTGTGACGGAAACCAAAAGTTAGGTGAAGAGTTTTCATATTGGCATAGACATTAGACAAGTTCAAATGCACAGAGAAAATCAAGCGACAGTCATTTTTCCCCTTTCAACGTAAACTAAATCAATCTGATCTCTTTTTTCCCTACATCATTAGCCAAATCTAGTGGAATTAGACCGATCTCACTTGATGAGAATTTTTGAATTTTCCTTCTAAGATTGTGTACTTGATCTGTCTGATATTCCATGACTTGGAGAGGGAGCCCATGACCTAATCATTTCGAAACCACACATTCTTTTCCTTGCTGCCTAAAAAAAAGTCTGCAATCTCAACATGGAAATCTCCATCAGATGTGAACAATAAAAGTGATATTCGTGTGGTTTTCATGTAATGTTAATCCATTCATGCATGCTCTTCATTTAGCAAGGGAACAATTGCCCCTCTTTGACTTTGAAAAATCAGCAGCGGAAATCCTGGGACATGGAATACACGTACAGATGGAGAATCAAGTTACGTCCGTCCTTTCATTTCCTTGCTTTCCAGAAGCAAAAAGTTAGATTTCTGTGTGCTTTATTTTATTTAACTTAAATGATGTTTTCAGCTGATATTTCTTGGTAAGTTCACGTGCCGTTCTTTTTCAATGATTTGGATAAGTCAGTCCGTGCCAATTAACTTTGAATTATGCAGAAGGTAGACTTAATCTTGACGTGCAAAAGCTGATTCAGAATATTACATCAGCACTACATGAAAAGACGACTAATTTTCTCTAATAGAAATAACCCTGATTGATCTTTATGGAGGATCATTTCTCACATACACTTTCATTTGCTAACCAGAAAGTGCATTTAATTGTGAGGAATTCATTCTTTGCATTAATGAATCTTCACTGCAACGATAGAAGTTCTTGTATCATGTAACCCAAAGAAAGTTATGGTATCGAATGCTTATGCTTTGACCAACTTGTACTGAATATAAATTGGCGTAATATCTGCAGAACACGGCGGAGCAATATTTTTTAGTACGTTCGCTTATAAATTCTAGAAGCAAGTTGATATGAAGTGCCTGGGCATGAAGACAATCTATCTCTTCCTTTTTTTTTTTTTTTATCTTTGGAAAAATGACATAAAAGGTCAATGAACTTTTCATTTGTTCAATGTGGTTCCTGAATTTTTAATTTGTTCAGTGGTCCCTGAATTTTGGGTACATGCTCAAACTAATCCCTAAATTATATGAAAATATTCAATTTTGTCTCTAAACTTAAATTAATGGAAGGACAATATTGAATATTTTTATATAATTCAAGAACTAGTTTGAACAAGTATCAAAAGTTCAGGGACCATTTTTAACAAAATAATATATCAGAGACCACATTGGGCTAAAGTTCAGGGATCGCATTGAATAAATTAAAAGTTTAAAGATCGCATTGCATATTAGGCCAAAGTTCATAAATCATTTGTGTCATCATCCCTTTATCTACATAGTATTCTCAAGGTTCCTTAACGATGAAGTCCCCCTTAACAACGTTGGCACTGCGAAGTTTCTGGGAAGATGTCGCGGGGAAAGGACAGGATCAATTGACTCGAGTTCAACGGGGGAAGTCTGAACTTGGCTCTAGGTTTTGTAGAACTTAGCCAAGTTGCCGAGCACTAGGTGGTCAACAGAAACGTGCCGGTGGACAGTGTTTGAACTCTCGATTTCCATTTTCTGAATGAACTTGGCGTCAAGTCAAGCCCATCTTCTAATTTTCTGAATGAACTCGGCCTCAAGTCAAGCCTATCTTGCCTTCAAAAGATCAACATTTGCTCTTGACGGGCTATAAGGGCAGAAAGTCCAGCAAAAATTGGTAAATTTCCTAGAACTTTTCATACTTTTAGGACGCGCATGGAATCCATTCTGGAGCAAAATTTCTGCTCCAGAATGCATTCCGGAACAGAAATTTCTTTGTTAAAAAATTTCCGGAATGCATTCCGGAGGAATTTTTGCATTCCGGAGCAAAAACGCGTTTGATAAAAATACATTCTTTTTTTTGTTCCAGAATGAGTTTTTGCTTCCAGAATGTGTTTTGGGCCAAAAAAAAGAAGCTAGTTTTTGTAGCTTCTTGATTCCGGAATGCATTCTCCCTATTTTCTCACAAATTTTTTTTTTTCAGAAAATGCATAAAAATTGAAAAATTCTAGAAAAATTCATAAAAATTTCCAGAAAATAAAAAAAAGTCAGATTTCGGGAAAATATGAAATTTGGTGAATTTTTTTTTAAAAAATAAAAAAAAATAAAAAATTTCAAAACTTCACAAAATAGCTTAAAATACATGTGGCCACCCACTTTGAGTGAAATTTAAATTTTTTGAGGTGCCCAAAAAAAATCAAAAATTTCAAAACTTCACAAAATGGCTTAAAATACATGTGGCCACCTACTTTGAATGAAATTTTAATTTTTTGAGGTGCCCAAAAAAAAAATAAAAAAATAAAAAAATAAAAATTTTCAAAACTTCACAAAATGGCTTAAAATACCTGTGGCCACCCACTTTGAGTGAAATTTAATTTTTTTGAGGTGCCCAAAAAATTAAAAAATAAATAAATAATTTCAAAACTTCACAGAATGGCTTAGAATATCTGTAGCCACCCACTTTGAGTAAAATTTAAATTTTTTGAGGTGTCCAAAAAAATAAAAAAATAAAAAAATTCAAAACTTCACAAAATGGCTTAAAATACATGTGGCCATCCACTTTGAGTGAAATTTAAATTTTTTTAGGTGCCAAAAAAAATCAAAAATTTCAAAATTTTACAGAAAGGCTTATAATACATGTGGCCACCCACTTTGAGTAAAATTTTAATTTTTTTAGGTGCAAAAAAAATCAACAAATCAAAACAGATTTCTATTCCAGAAATCAATTTCTGGAGCAGAATTAATCATGTTTTACCAAACAGATTTCTCCTTCAGAAATCAATTTCTGGCAAGAATTTGATTTCTGGAGCAGAATGGTTACCATTCGCATCCTTAGATTACTCTAAACTATCACCAAGTTTCTCTGCAATTTAGTCCACCATATCTGTCCAAACAGTAATAGCTGGATTAGCGGATTCACATCCCTCATATGACAAAACATAGGTGCCCGGAGCTTCACCCCACAAAAGAGACTTCAGGTCAACTTAATTTCTGAGAAGTTTCCCAGGACAGCACACGCAACCTTAGAAGCTACAATATGGCAATTAGCATAGTACATCATATAAAGGTGAAAATAGCACTGCAAGAACTAAACCTAATGGGAATGCAAGTGAGCATTAATCCTTTCAATTGGTTCCAGTAAATATTATCGGAAAGTGTGATTAAATAAAAAAAAATTTCGTTGAAAAGTGAAATATTAAAAAAGCCACACGGGCAATTGTAGAGAGTGTTCATTGAAATGACTTGATTTCATTTTTTTGGAAAAAGTTTCGTACCTAATCCAACCAATTAAAAAGTTTATGATTTAATTGTATTCCGTGCAAGGTTTTAGAAGTTATGGTACACTTTTCCGCTAACAATTAGTCAAATTCACGTGACATAAAACACAATTCCCATAAACAGTTCGTCAGATCCGCTAATGTCTGTCCGAATAGAGGGGTGTATCACTGTATACTGGTGAGGAACATAGCTGGCATAGCCTAATACAACATGCCACAAATTAGGACACAATAGGACATAGCAATTGACCCAATTGTTTACATCAAGCGGTTCCTTCTGAGAGATGCATCGGATGGATTAGTAAGAATAGCATCCCCACTTTTCCAACCCATCAAATAAAGTTCACACCTCTGAAAGTCCTCGAACCAAAGAGAAAATTCTCGCAGCTGCGATTGAGAAAGCATTTGATAATGTTCTAAAAGCTATTTTTTTTTTCCATTTCTGATACCCGTTTCTAATCCAAAGAAATATTACATGCGTGCCTATAAATTGGTAGGACGAAGATGCAAATTTAGAGAATCCCCTAATGACTATTTCAGCCTGTTTCCTTCTTGGGGCCACAAGAAGATGAAAATATGCTCTTACATTGTAGATACATTGTTCTGTTACTGAACTTTATTGATGTTTATCATAGTGCCATTAGATTATCATGTTCAATATTTAGATTGATTATTTTAGAGACCATTGTAGATGCCAACAAGTGAGATGCTTAACATGCTGTCTTGAACTAAAGGAAATGTATGTTCAACAAATGAAGTGTACTATAGTTCTATATCATCTCAGTTTTTATGGATGACAGCATAAAATTCTAGTTTTTTTCAACCTTAAATTAAGCAAGCCCGACAGTCCAGCCTAAGCATTATCCGTCCTCTCCTCTTTAAAGCGATCAGCTTCTCCATAGCTACCCTGACTCTCAAATGAGTACAAAAACCAGAATGTTCTTAGATTGCACACCTAAAACCAATAATCTAATAGCAAAGTCCTGATCAAGGAAAGCACTATCTTATCGTCTTCAAGCCCATCTTTTCAACAAATCAAAGTAGATTCACTATGTATGGCGAATTGCCAAAGAGCAATAAGCTGGGGAACAACATCTTATCACTGATGGTAGCCTACAATGATTTCGACAAAGAAC